TCAAAAGTCCAATTAGGTCTAATAGTCCTGATCCTGAAAATGAGGACAGTTAACATTTTAAAGCAAAATATATCTCATCATACTATATTACGAGACTTTTTAAACAATGAAACAAATAGTCTGGTGATAGCTAGCAGGAGGATGGTAAAGCAGCCATCTTCCAAAGAAAGATGTTCACGAATCTCTGCTGGACCAAAATCTCATGCAGTTGTACCCACAAAGCATTTATGTCCATTTTTTTTGCCTAGAAGTACCTGTAAAAATGAGGGAACATAGGATGAAGGAGAAGAACAGGAAGTCTGCAGTAGAGCTTCCTCATATGCCCAAATAAAGGTGGGGGCCCACTGGTTACTGTCTTTGGTGACCACTTCAGAATATAGAGAACTCCCCAAAAGCAAGACCCACAGTTGATAACATCCAGATATCCATTCCTTTATCACTTCCAAAGAGCCAAAAACACTTTCTAAGGGCCACCTTTACACCCATTTGTGGAGTATAGATTGTTTGATCCAATATTTAAAATTCCAGGGAAAATAACAGTGTTCCAAGGCAGTGTCCAGAAAGAACTATGCCCACCTTGAGGTGAGTAAGGACATGACTCCAACCAAATCTGTGAGGTCTCTAATGTTTACAATGCATCTGGCCAGAGGTTGCCTCTAAGCCAGTGTGGAGGCTGTTTGGCTGCACCATCCAAAGAGCCCTTGGTTATCACCCTGGAAAGAGAGGGAGAGACTCCTCCTACCTCTTCTCTTTACAGAATCTGAGCCACCAAGTCGTGACTCCATCTGTCTCCAATTCTGGAAGAGAACTGAAGTCTCTGAGCTCTGATGGGAGTCAGGTTTTGGAGAACGTGACCAGGAATAGGAATGTACTGAGCTGCTTACCTCTCTTAGATGAGGATATTGCCTGTTTCCAAAAGGGATACTTTTTCTCAAAACAATAATGTCTACCTGAAACTTCAGTCTTAATCAGAGCAGTCTTTAGTTAACTGTCATTGTCACATTTGAGTTATAATTAATCATTTCTTTTGAAATCAAGGGCTATTTTAGTGTTCCGTTTGCATGCAACATAAGAAACATCTGCAGACCAATGACGACTCCACTCTGTCACCTCTGGCTGAGTTGTGCTCTCATTAACTTACTGATTGCTTCCATCTATTCACCAAAGCACTCTGAATGCATATAATTAGGTAGTCTCTCTGCCATGAGCATTCTCAGGTTTGTGTCCCTTCTCACACACATGCATGCACAGGCATACATACACACATACAAAATCATAACTATACCCTAATTGCCAATATCAATTCATGGCTGATAAAAGTATTCATCAAGTACTTGATAGACAGACATATTACAATTTGTGCAGTATTTTCTCTCCTGTTCTACCTAGCTGTGGATCGCCAGCATCTCAAAGTTTGACAGAAATATGTAAACTTTATCTGGAGGGAGCATGTTCTTTATATTGGAGCAATGTAGTTACCCTGCTGGCTGTCTTTTCTTACCCTATGGAATCCATGCAGGCTTTTGATGTTACCTCAGTGGATTGGTATTAAGATGCTGCAGACGTAGAAGCCAGTCTCGCTGAGACCAGACAGTCCTGTTCCTTAGATTCATTCATAGCATGCATACCCATATCTGCTGTTTGAAGCATCATGAGCAAAGTTGGAGAGTTCTATTCTCAGTCCTAACAGGAATAGAGATGAGTGTTTTGTGAGATTAATAATTTTTGCATTCTACTTCTCCCAGGGTCAAGAAGTGGGAAAATGGCAAGACTTCATTTAGGAAGGAAAGGAGGAGGGTGAAGAAGCAAACACATAGAACTTTTATTGAGAGAAACATAAAATAGTTTTTTAAAAAAATCCTTCTTTGATGTGAATATAATCAGAAGTCATCCAGGGTACTTACAGCTGTATTTTTCTTCCTTATCTTTTCGTCTCTTGTATTCTCTTCTCTTTCTCAATTTATAGATGTTGAAGTATTTTGTACCCTAAGTTAGCTCCAGGTACACACACACACACACACACACACACACACACACTCACACACAATCAATATTAGAATGAGAAATTGAGAAAACATAGAGTTTATGCACATGGTATTTAATGTTTCCAAATCAGAACCCAATCAGTCTAATTCAATCAATTCCAACATGTTTTAACAACCAGGATGGAGTCTGCTATACAGAACTGGGCACCTTGGGCATAGAGAAGACAGTAACTTTGTTACAAGAGTGTTCCTAAGATGCTTGGGCACTTTCAATGGTCAGCGCATTTACGTTGGCTACTTCTTGATAGCAGGCAAGATAAATGGAACACAAAGAACAGGGAAGGGCCATTTCTTCAGAAGTGTTAGTCTAATTTCCCTGTTACAGTGCTGTGTCAGTTTGTAGCCTGGCACAGCTGCCCTCCTTGGAGAAGAAGGGAGTTTCCAGGACCACCAACAACTCCCTAAGGTCTCTGCCACCATTAGCCTATGGTACATTCTGAGTAAATCAAAGTACAGTGGTACTTCAATTCATGAATTTAGTTGTTTCCATGGTCCTGGTCACGGAACTCATTTGATGATTCTGGTTGCAACCAAATTAATCATTGAATGAATTCTGTTACCAGAATCATGGAAAGAATTAAGTTCATGAACAAAGGTACCACAAGTTGGCATGTGGATATGGGATAATTAACCATAACCACTTCTCCAAATGGCCTCCTTTGACATGGAAATATGATGGTTTTTAACTTTACAGATGAAAAAGTTGAAGGACAGCAAAATTAGATAACTCAGAAAGTTATATGGAAAATTCATGCCAGAACCATAACGTTTTGGAAATTTTAACTCCCAATCCAACACAGTGAATACTGCTGCTTGAATTGTGTACCTATCCTAAGTTTTCAACATGGGAAAATTTATGAAACCTAAGCAGCTCATTTAGCCAAATCTTTTAAAAATTTTTTGGATTCCCCCCACACACATACCCTCAGTCCACATGAATTAGGAGACCAGTCAAAAGGGGCAAATAGAAAGCAAATTTAAAGCTAGAAAGGAAAGTGTAGAAAATGTTCTATAATTAAAAAATGTGGAAGACCAAGTAAAAACATTTGCGTTTTGTGGAGTAAGACATTGTGAATAAATTTTTTATCATGAAAAATTTTTATGTAGCATGTAAACCACACAAGTAAAAAGCTCAAGAAAAACCTGAGACAGAGTTTTTTCAGGATGTTACCTGGGACAGGGCTGTGTTCAGAGCAGTCATGAGTCTAGCAGTGTTAGTGTGGATCAGCCGAACTAACAGTGGGTAGTGAGCCGGGCTACCTAAAGGGAGAAATGCTTAGATTCTTTTTTTTTTTTTTTTTTTTTTTTTTGGTTTTTCTCTGGTACCAGGAATTGAACTCATGATCTCGCACTTGCCAGGCAGGCGCTGCACTGCTGAGCTAAATGCCCAGTCCCTGATTCGTCCATGTATCTCCATATCATTTAGACAAGTGGAAACAGAGCAAGACTTCTTCTAATATTAAAGTATGAATCAATCTGAAAACATAAGTATAAATAATTCACATAAATAATGAATTTCCAAGGGAAGGACATATATTCCCCAGACCCATAATAAATAATCATTCGCTGCCTAAATCTTGAAGAAAGAAGCAAGCTGAGAATACTTGCACAACCTTAATTTTGCCCTCAAATTGTAATGGTAAATTCTATAATCATTTACAGACCAGAGAATCCTGCAGCTACCTTTTATCCAACCCATCCATTGACTGATGTGTGGTTAACCGGAAGCAATCCATCTTTCCAAAGCGGAGAGTGTCTTTAGTTTGTGCCACAGAAGCAATTTTGGTCCATTTCAGAGCATTCTGCTTCTATCAAGAAAAATGAAAAGAGTACCTTAGTTTAATGTTGGCTTGGTTTTCTGTTTCTTTGTTTTGTTTTTTTGGTGACTTTTTTGGCATGGTGGAAGGCAAGGGAAAAAGTAGTTAAAAGGAAAAGCCCTTTTATCCAATCACTTTTACAGTGCACGATTTCACAGAGAGATTTCCCATTTCAGGAGAGGATATGGTCAGAGGGAGGAGGTGGCTTTTATTCATTCATGGGGGAAAGGAGGATAGGCACCTGAATCTTCCTTAAACTCAAAGTTTAGTGAAGCCAATTACAAATATCCTTTCTCTCCCTCCCTTTTGCCTCCATTATCATACTAAGTGAAGAAAGAGGAACAGATTATTCTACCTTGACACCATGGTGACTTCTTCTTTCTTATGAATATCATTATAGATACCTGAATCTATGCTGCTCTTTAATGGCACCTCACAAGGCCAACTGCTGATGGGTGTATGGAGCATCTTATTCCCCAGAAATGACCCTTATCTTTCTTGGTTACAGCTATATTTATGTGAAGTACAAAGAAATAAGATGCATAGGGAAGTCAAGAATGGTGGTACAAGCCCATAAAAGCATGCCTCTGGCAGGCAAATAACAAGGTTGAGTTCAGGTAGATCAACTTAGCAACTCAGCAAGAACTTGTCTCAAAAATAAAAGAAATAAAAATAAAGGGCCAGGGATGTAGCTGAGTGTGAATGCCCTGGGTTCAATCCCAGTACTTCAAAAACAAACAAATTATATGAACAGAGAAATTGTTTAAATGAAACCACAAAGCCCTTGTGCTTAGTATTACATTTTAAAGTAGAAATGAAAAAGACAACCTTCAACCCTAGCTGCCAACAGTAAGCCCAGGGCAGCATTACGGAGGAAGTTTTAGAGAGGAAATCCATGTCAGTACCTTCCTATTTTGAGTAAATGTTAGTGGGTCTGGGTGCGTAGGTATCCTATGGGGGAAAAAAGGGGGATAAAGTCAGTTTTAGAGCCTAGGACTCTCTATGAAGGAGTAACAAGCACATCAGCTTAAACTCCCCCACTGACTGGGAAGAATGTAATTCCCCTGATATTATGGTTTGATTTCTTCCCTTTGGTCATTAGTACCTGGGCAGCTCACACCTCTCTTTCCTTCTGTAGCTTACATGAAAGAATAATACGTATAACCCTGTTTGGATAAAGCCTATTGGATGAAGCCAGATATCTGGATGGAGCTTACAAAATGGGCAAAGAATTCTTATCCCAGAGTTTCAACATTGCGCCACTGAAGAGAAGTCTCCTGGGGAAATTTGTATGTCCAATAACTTGCAACCTAATCAAGAAAGTTGGTGGGTCTTTGAGCTCTACCAACTCTTGAGCTTTCACTTTCTTTCAATGAAATAAGCCATAGCATCACTGTTCTCTTCAATATTTTCTACTCACCAATATGCTAGAGCTGCTTCTGTCTTCAGGGAGATGAATTAGACCAAGAACAAAATTCCAATCTTCTGGGCAGTTACAAATGGTTCTCTGCTTTCCTTTTTTTTTTTTTTTTTCCATTGCCACATGGTGAAGAAATCTACCTGGTTATCACCAAACATCCTAGTGGCAAACTATGGAATGCAAATTCATGAAGAGTGAGTACAATCAGCATGTTCCATTTAATCCCAGTGGTTTCTGAGTATTGTATTATCTGTCCAAGAACCACCTCTTCTATGAGGCATTTTCCTCTCCTGGCAGCTATGATTCCAAGATGAATTTCAGTGGTTGGTGTGTGACAAAAAGGATATCTATACTAAGAAAGTGTCCAAAGTACCTATGTTTTTAGCCATTCCAAAGTGGGTTTAATAGTTGAGAAAAGCTTTTCACATTTCTTGCATGGAAATTGTTCATCTCCCAGCCATTTGGCAGCTTTCCTGGTTCTCCGTCATAGCTTTGCTTCCTGTCCCCACCTTCTTTTCCCAGTATGGATGAGTATATTCCTTAAACTGAATTCTTATCTAAACTATTATATCGTTAAAAAAGGATCATGGTAATATTTTCTCATGGTTTTCTCATTATTTTTTAACTCAGAAAGATGGCTGGAGAAGGAAAAAAATAATAAGTAAGCAAACAAGACCTTGTTCCCAGATGTCCCACCTCAAGGTCAAGCGCTGGGATAGTGAGTGTCCTCCAGTGCAAATCTGTGGTTCTGCTCAAGGAGAAGGGCATGCTGTGGAATATTAAGCAACCTCTGTGAAGGTGTGCACGGGGATTTTGGTCAAGGTGTCTGTGTGCCTGTGGAAGCATTTCTGGTTTTTCTCTGTCTCCCTTTCTCTGTCTCTGTCTCTGTCTCTGTCTCTGTCTCTCTCTCTCTCTCTGTCTGGCTCTTCAAAGCAGAATCAGTGTGATAGAGAATGAATGGATTTTAGTTCGAGTATGGTGGCGCCCTGCTACTACCCTCCACTCTCCTTGGTGCTAAGTTCATAGGAAACAAGCGTTTCTAAATCTCAGGCAATGAGTCACTGCAGTTATTTTTTAATCATTAATGGAATGTACCTTTTGGAACAGAAAGAGAAATTAGAATGGGGAATAGATACAGTGATAAGCAGACATCAAGGTTTGTTCTAAAACATGCTCTTGTTCATCGAGGTGAGAAATACCTAGAAACAAACAAAAGGGGGATTTGGAGGTAAGGAAACAACAGCGACCACATCCAGATGCTCCGGTTTACCCTTAGAAGATGTCATTCTCTATAACATCCAGCAGAAGCAGAAACTGTGCTGCCATTAACTGCTCCAAAATGGTAACAGACTAACTTTAGAGAGAGGTATGGGCTTTCTTTCAGGAAGACATTGATAAGTGATGCAGTTTGACTGTTCAAAAACTAGTCCACTAAACCTTTAGGCAGTGTCTCTTAAATGGTTTCCATCCTCCAGTCAAGAATTTTCAGAATAGAAGAGCCTCATACTCATTACGATTACATTTCCTTAATTGGGGAAGCCAAAGTGCACTGAGAAGAATAGAATGCTGTATACCAGGGAAATAGAGTGAGATTATCTGAAATTTGTTTTTATACAATTTTGAAATGATTTTGAATCAGAAAGTTAGGTCACCTCTGAGACAGAAAATTGTTAAATAAAATTATATCTTCTCATTACCAGTGAAAATATTGGGTTTCTAATCTGATTACTGTTTACCTCACTAAAGGAAATTGGTAGATTTGATTACAAGTAAGCATTTACAGATTAATTTAAAGTCTTACACATATCAGCATGGAATTTACTGACTCAGACATGATCTTTTAAGCTACAAAATACCATTATGGGTGGTAGATCACGTGTTCTGAGCAAATTAGGAAGACTAAACCACTAAGTAACCTTCTCTAATACTGAATCTAAATTCTACTATACCCATAAGGGATCTGGGAGGAACACAGTAAAGGAGGAAAGAAACAGAGACCAACTGATGAGTGAGAGTCATAATTGTTAAAAAACAAGTAAGTTGAAGGACAATATTCATATAGGAAAAGAAGGATGGAAAATGAACTCTATACTTGCCATTTAGAAATTTGATTAAAGAATTTACTCAGGTTGTTTGTTTGCTTTGGGGGATTTTGGTTGCTTGGGTTTTGTTTAGTTTTTTTATTTTGCTGTGGGCTTTTTTGTTTGTTTGTTTGTTTAGTGTTACTCTTACTCTTAGCTTAGGGAGATTTGACCTGTGGTTTCAGAGCTTGTTTGGAGAGATGACTTATCCATGCAAGGGTATTAACTAAGTGGAAACACCATTCTAAGTTGTTCTAGGTGCTGGAGTACAAGCATAAACAGCACTGAAGTTTATATATGGATGAAAGGAAACAGACAAAAGCCCAAGTAAATACATCTTTGTAGTAAGTTTTATTTATTTATTTATTTATTATTTTTTTTTTTTTGGTTTTTCTCCAGTACCGGGAACCGAACTCACGACCTTGCGCTTGCCAGGCAGGCACTTTGCCGCTGAGCTAAATCCCCAGCCCCTGTAGTAAGTTTTAAATATCTATTAGAAATCCAAGTGGAAAAGCCAGTTAGACAATTGGCTATACAAACCAGAAGTTCTTAGAAGAGGTGGGGCCTGAAGATGTATGTTTGGAAGTTGTAGGAATTTGGATGACATTTGAAACCATGAGACTGGATCCAGGGAACTAATGCAGGTGGAAGAGAATTGCCAGATTGAGCCCTGGGAACAGTCACAGCCCAGGAGATGAAGTACTGGCCCTCAGAGGAATGGCCAGAGACAAATCAACTGCCACGACTCAGTGAACAGGATCCTCTGGAAATGTGGAGCTCAATCCACTGGTGATCTGAAAGAGAATGTTTAGGGAATGGTTCCAAGGAGAGCTGCAGGAAAGGAAGTAGTGCCAACATAAATAGGCAGTTCTTCTTAGGACATGGAGATAGCAAGGGAGGAGTATGTGGGGTTCCAGGAGAAATATTTTTAAGATGGGAGAAATAGCCCATTTCATGCTGTCCAGAACAATCCAGTAGACAGGGAAATTAACAATTCTTGAGAGAGGGGACAGTTGCTGGAGCAACATGTTTGATGAGGTGAAATGGGGTTGGAGCCAATGCACAAATGAAGAGACTGGCTTTCGGAGCCCAACTAGGTGTTTTACAGGAATGGAAGAGAGGTGCTGTATGGGCAAGTAGGCTGATGAATGTGGGAGTGTGCTTTTCTGGTTGATGATTTTTTCAGTGGTGAACTGATGGAGTTCGTGAGTTAAGAATGATTATTGGGGTACAACTACTGGAAGTTTAAGAAGAGATGCAACTATGCATTAGACATATCACCACTGACCAGCAAGAATGGAGATATGAAAAAATGTTGCAGGCAGGCTTGAGGGTCTTGGTCATGAGTTTAAAGAAATTTAACAAATATTCTTCCATCACATTCTGCTCAGATAGGGAATTAGGCTTAGGGTTTGAGTTTAAGCAAGTGAATGCGGTGAATGCAGGTGAGGATGTGGAGTTAACAGCAAGTGCAATGTAACAGTGGTCACGATTAGCCGGGGAGTCTAAGCACGGTGAGGACCAAAGTGAAGCGTTCTAAGCGATGTGAAATATTGAAAAGGGCTAGGGGTAGGAGGCTGAAATAAAAGCAAGAGTTACCAAAGTACTGAATCACGGTCCCACAAAGAGTAACCTAGAAATTAGGAGCTGGGTCTGAGGCTGGGTGGTTGGTGTTAGGATTGTGGAGGAGTTGAGGTTACTAAGAAAGACTGTGGGGTGGTAGTGGGCTGAGTAAAGGAGGAAAAGGTTACTGAAGGAGCAGAGTTCAAGGAACTGAGAGGCCAGGATATGGGGAGGATTGCTTATGTAGGTACTGCATCAACAAAATGTTAACTTGTGCATGATATGGGTGTATATTATGACAGGAATTGGGGAGAGATTCAAGAATATTTCAACTATTGCATCAAGTCAAACAGTTAATATCACCTGATGTGTTTCCAGCTGGACTTTATTGTTCTTGTGTGGTTTTTAAAGAGGGTAGGAAGATAATCAGGAAATGACAAGGATGAACAAGGAAGGGGCCTATTCTTTCTCCAGGCCCAATGGTGTGACAAACGTGTGAGGGGACAGGCCTAACATTTAAGATGGCTACAGGACCCCAGGGATGAGCCAGAGGGCGAAAGAGGGTCAGGTTGTGTGACTGATGGCAAATCATGGGAAGGATTTGGAGGTTAATAAGGGAAGGGAAACAGGCTCAGATGGGAGATGTATTTGATCATTTGGGGATGAAAGTCAGAGTGATAAGAGAAATTCAAGTGATGTGAGCTTCTCATGTGCTAAGGAAGGCTCCCGGATATTCCAGCTTGGTTCTAATGGGTTTTGTCTGATAGAAGTGGTAAGGCTGAAAGCACTTGGAGTAGGCTTTACCAGCAGCATACAGAACTCTAGGGCCTCATCTTCCATCTGATGTTTGCTTTTCTTAAATTCCACCAAAAACACACTGCCATCTGTGATGGGAGAGCTACCCCATATGGTTATAGATGTCATTAAGTGTGGTCCTGGGTTAACACTGTGTTTTGATTATTTACCCTAGAAAGAACATATTTTCAGAGTAAATCTTGGCTTTTCTATTTTAAAGGTTTCTATCAAAGTGGGTCTCCATGGGGGAATCATAATTCTTTGTTCTTACTTACCTAACTCTTTGTCCTTCTTTGGAAAAAAACTAAAGGATTGGAAAGCAGCTTTGCTTCTGCCTAGTTCTGCCCAATGAAAGTTTCTTTCTGCCTGGCCATTTTTGTTTAGTATTTTCTTTTGCGAGAGAGAGGAACAGTGAGACAGGAGTAATAGAAAATGAAAGTCTTCAAACCCCTTGGGAGAGAGTTTTGGAAGATCAGGAGAGGATTTAGGGAAAAAGGATTTTGAGTGTAGCTAAAAGAAAAGGGAACAAATGAGGACTTTGGGGGAACTCCTGAAGAAACAAGATATTTGTCTAAGAGAAGCAAGGAAAAAAATGTCCACTGTGTAAGCATTTGGAGATTTGATGAGAACAAACTGGAGTCTGCTCGCAGGAGCATCCACATACTTTTGACAGAGATGATGGGCAGATTCTGTTTTATTTCCTGTGCCCTTGGAAATCATAATTTCAAAGAGACAGAACTTGTTCGGTTATTTTTCATGGACTAGTTTCCAAAATCGCACAGAACCTTGAACAGGGCATTAACAAGATCACAACACCACTGCTGCTGGTTCAGTGTTCAGCTTCTCTGGCCCCCACCAACTTTCCTCTTCAGTGTGGTCGTGTCCTGCCTGGCTTTTCCCCCAAAGATTAGCTGGTGTCCATTCTGGCACATCTAATGCCCTGTCTTGAGTTCCTCTGTTGAAAGAGTATTACAACCAACTCAAAGACTTATACCATGCTTTATGCACCAAGGACCACCTGGACCATTTAGGAAGGCAGAGGGAAGCAAAGGAAGCCAGAGATGGTTTTGTCACGACCTCACTTTGCTTTCTGACCTGCAGGAATCCAACCTTTACAAAGTGAGCAGAAAGCAACGTGGTGTCTACCTACTTCCCTTGCTTCAGGCTGTGTCTGACGGGACTAACTGAGCATAAGTGTTAGTATTTGTGTGAAGTGTAGGCAAAAATGATAGAAGAGAGGGAATCTTCATGAGAGCTGTGTTACCTAGTGACCATCCCAGCATTCATACTTCCAAGTAGCCCTGATGTTCACGGGAGCTTCTCAAGGGAGCTAGCTGGCACGTGACAGCAGAGATCAGAGAAGAGACAAGAGAGGGCAAGGAGATCTTATCCCTAGGGCAATTTTCCTCCACTTAAGAGGAGCGAGTGCTCCAGCAATGTCATGATGACATTTAGACACAATGACTGATGAATGTGTGGGTGTGTGCCTGTGTGTGTGTGAGTGTGAGGGGGTGATGACGGAAACAAAATTCACATCCATAGTGGGTTGGGTTGTATTCACGAAGCCACACCCTCCCAAAGTCATATAGTGGAGGGGAAATGGTCACAGCTTTCCCCATGTGGAGTTCCCCTGCCCAGGGAAAGCACAGACGACTCAGGCTTGCCTCGACTCTGTGAGGCCCCCGAGCCCAACCTCCTCCCCGGGGGCTGGCTCGCCTTCCTCTTGACTCTCAGATCTCCAGCCCATCCACCTCCAAGTTTTTTTTGTTTGTTTGTTTTGTTTTTTGTTTTCTGTAAATATATATTTCTTATTTTGGACATGCAGGGATCAACTGAGATTCTGGAGTGGGGGGAGGGGCGGATGACTGGGTCTTTTAATTTTTTCCTTTCTCTCTTGGATTTTGGTGTTTGAACTTGAAAAAATACTTACAAGTATATATATAAGCAAATGACTTACCTTTAAAAACGAAATAAGTTGATTTCATTCTTTTGATTTATCTTGTTTCTCATTGGGGTTGGGTGGGGGTGGGGGGTCTTTTGGGTGGAGGGCTTTTTTGTGAGCTGTATAGATTTCCAGTTTGGACTTGTTCAAATGATGCAGGAACAAAAATTAAAATGAATTTAAAAAAAGACAACATAAAAATAAGAAAACTTTGTGATGTATAAAAGCTGTAAATAGTCAAAGATTCTTTCTCTTTTCTAATGGCAAATTATTTCTGTCACTTTATATTCAAAAAATAAAGAAACCTACCACAAATTATCAGGGTAAAAAAAAAAAATCAGGAATCAGAGTTTTTTTCTTGGTCTTTGTGCTTTCTTTACTATAATTCAGAAAAAATTATTGCAGGTGCTGTCTGAGACAAATCCAGTTGATTATGGCTGTCAGTGGTAGTCCGCACTGCAACACTAGCTGGGTTAGAAATCTGTTTCTACCAACTAAGGCAGAAGTCTGTTGGTTATGGGTTGGAAGAGTTTAAATGATTATTGGTCAAAAAGCAATTTTTAAAAGTTTCTGTTAAGATTATTTCTTGATTATATACCTATCAATTTTTTTCACCATAAAATGTTTTAAATATATTCAAAGGTAGTTAAGAATGGTGTAACAAATTTCCATGCGTCCAGCATGCAGCTTCAATAATTATCAAATTACATCAGTCTTATACCCACCATATCTCAAGTCAATCCTCCCGTATCATCTTGAAACAGATCCGACAATTGTATCACTTCATCTTCATTATAGTATACATTACTAAGAACTTTTAGTGTAATCCCAAAACCACTAGGACATAAAACTTCAGCATGAATTGTTCTATAGCAAATATCTACTCAAATAGTATCTCAAATATAATACTGCTTTCAGGGTTTTTTCATAAATGAAATTCATTAAGCAATGTCTTAAGAGTAAGAAATTAGAGATATCTGTACATTTCAGTATCATGTGGCACTCCC